AAAAAGGGAAAACAAAGAATGCCTCTATAAGAATCCTTTAACACAGTCTGCCCATTTATTTTACGCTATAAAGACCCATATAACAACAACAAAGTCTACTTCAGATTTTATTCTTGTTATAAAGAGTCCTAATAGCACAGTGGCCTAAGTATTGGGCTGCTAACTCTAAGGTCAGAGGTTCAAACCTATTAGCCTCTCCACAGGAGAAAGATGAGGCTGCATACTCTTGCAGAAACATATTCTCAGAAACCCTTCGGCACAGTTCTGCTCCGTCCTGAGGCAACTAAGTTTAAATTGACTCCAGAGGGCAGTGGGATTTGGGATTTTGGTATATGCTCTACATTAATATGCTGAATAGGCATAAAATCCACTTTCATGGAGTCAATTCCAACTCATTGCAATTCTGAACACATCATTTCTGAGGCTAGAAATCCTTATGGGAACAGCCTCATCTCTCTCTTGCAAGTGAACGGTGAGTTTGAACCACCAATCTTTCCATTAGCAACCCAGTGCACACCCCAGAGTGCCACGGCACATACAAAAGGCCCAAGCACTTCAGAATATGTAGGCATCAAGTTTTTCATTTCATAAACTTGAAACTGTGTGCTCATTTTTATTAAGAATGATTCGGATTAGTGTAATACGGATTTCTTTGTCAAGTCTATTAAACACACTGATAATGGCATTTAGGACACGCTCGCCTTCTGACTATCCCCTACTACAATGTTTATCAAATTGGGGTGAAACAACTCAAGTGAATCAGAATTGTGTAATAGCTTGTTAAAAATTCTCATTTCTCTGCTACACAGCAACTCATGGAAAAGTGTCTAAGATAACAAGTCCTCAGATGAATTAGAAGTTGCCCTCTGAAAACCTTAATTTGCACTCGTCATCCTCCAAGTTAAACTATAAAGTGTTGAGATTTAGGAATAATTTTTAATTTGCAAATTGTCCAATTGCCTTTGAAATAATTGCAGTCAAACGCTTTTATAACTCAAGAAGTAAAATGTATTTTACAGCAACCTCAATAGTGTATTATTTATATAGTAACATAGAATGGCATGGAAAGACCATAAATAAGTGTGTAATTGAATGCTACAGTTAGCATATTTAAAAATTAAATTACCATAGCTTTAAGAGAGCATCATGCAGGAGCATAAAAGTCAGAATAAGACTGAGTTGATAATATGCCCAGAAATTACATGCAATGTACAGAAAACTTTTAGTACTTTTCAAGCACTTGAAAGGACACCCATCTTCATGCATCAGAAGAAAGGCATAATAATTTGGGGGCAAAGTCTTTGAAATGCATTCATTATTCCTGATTTTGTTTATTGTACTGTGAGTATGTCCTTGCTCTTAAGATACACACATTGCCATAATTAGAAATTAATGTCTGGACTTTCTTGCAAATGATTCACACAATTTTATGAATATATAGAGTAAACGTGACAAAAATTCGAGCATGTGGAAATTAAAGTGAAATTTATTTTTTAATCTCCTGTAAGTTTAAAATTATGTCAAAATAAAAAGTGACAAATGAGTTTTAAAAGCTATAGTATATATATATATATATATATATAAAATATAAAGTTTATATAGTATATATAAACTTTTAAAATATCTTAAAAGTTTTAGAATGCATTTTAAAGTTTTATATATAGAGCAATAATTTGTCTATTTTAAGCCTATGGTACATTTAGATGAAAATGTAGACAAACTGGATGTTAAATCCTATTCAAAACCTTCATATTAGAAATGAAACTAATTTCTACTCAATTATATACACATCGTAGAAAGAAAAATACCTCTGCATTTTGCCTAACTTGAAATTTATTTTTAAAGTTCTATTGGCATATAATTCACCTATCATACAATGGTTCAATCAGACATAACTCTTTTTAACAAGACTGAACTACTGAATTTTATGTGAATTAAACCAAAGCTGTTATAAGTATTTAAAATATCTTTACAGTGAGTTTTTCCACCAACACTCCCTGCACATTTGATCAAAGCTTCATAATCCAGCACTGAGTTCACTTTAGTTTTATTCAGAACACTAGTTAATGATTGAGTGATGCCCCCACGCAGTGACAAAAACTACCACATCACATTCAGAGAACTCCACACCCGCGGTCACGGAGTTGAACCCTACTGACAGTGACCCTGCAGGACAGAGAACGACCCCTGTAGGGACTGTAAGCTCTATGGGAGTAGAAAGCCTCATCTCTCTCCCAGGGAGCGGCTGATGCTTTCAAATAGCTGACCTTCTAGTCAGCAGCCCAATGTCGAGCCCACTACACCACGGAGGCTCCACATCAGACTGCCAGTGCACTGTATTTTACGAGTACACAGAGGATTATCTTGCAATTGTTTACTAACCAATCTTATCTGGTGCCAAAGGTTTACTGTCAAGGGTGGAGACACACAGAACACAAGAATCTGAGCAAGACCCCCTTATCACAGCAGAATAGTAGAAAAAAAAAAAAGAAAAAAAGAAGATGAAAAAAAGCGAAAAACATGCTTCTGAGAACAGACAAGTATTAAACAGCACTCACGATTTTGGTGAGAAAAGCTTTCCTGTGTTTCTTTTCACGTTTTTAATTTTAACTGTAATGTTCAGGGCATTGAGAGAGCTCTGGTAGTGCAGTGGGTCACATATAAAGAGTTACAGTCTTGGAAACCCAAAGGAGCAGTTCTACCCTGTTCTGTAGGGCAGGTATGAATGAGTCTGAATGGACGCGATGGCAGTTATTTGGCTATTGTTGGTTTTGGCATTGCTACACTAATATCAATTCAGCCTGTTTATAGAGGGGAAAAAAAGATTTGTACATTTTGTACGATATATATCAAGCTTTAAATCTATGAAAAATTTACAAGGAGGACCAAAATTGTAAGGAATGCTACCCCAAACAATTTAAAGCTGTGGCATGGTGATTACACGTTGGGTTACAAATGGCAAGGTCCATAGTTCAAAACCACCAGGCGCTTCTCAAGGTAAAGACGAAGTTTTCTACTCTCAGAGTGTTGGGGGGTGGGGGTGCAGTTCTACCCTGTCCTGTAAGGTTGCTATGATTTGGAGTTGATTTGATAGCCATGAGTTCAGTTTCCTGGTTTTGAGTATCAAAACATCTTCGCATGTTTTTCCAATGACTAATTCAGTAGACTGAACTCA